AACACCATTCTAAGGAAGTAAAATATGAGTGCAGCTTTCTTGTTAATGAAATGATGCTAATATAGCAATATATATTTTCAAGTTGTTATACTATTTTTGAACTACTTTACTATTTTATCCAGCAGATCAATCCAAATCAAATATTTAAAGTGTATGATGGATGGTTAACTTGTCATCTAAGACGTTTCACATATCTTTTTTTTCAAGCATTCAATTCTTTTGCAACGCTATAACTAGTTCTGCAATACTGGTTTAAATTGTAAGATACAAAATATGTCTAATTTATCATACGTAAAAGTTCACATTGAAATTTATAAAGAAGCTTAATTAACTTCTTCGCTTGTGAAAAATTCGAAGAAAATAGCTAAACTTTTCCAATAAGTAAGAAATTTTAATTGTACAAATCTTACAAATTCGGAAAAAAGAATTTTATCCTCTCTCATTCATATTAACTTATTAACCAGTCCATCATTTAAGTTGTCCTACATACTTTGCAAATCCTCTTAGCACGATGAATATTAAATTTAAACTTCAAGAAAACAGAAGTAAATTTCACTTACAGGAAAATATAAAAATTTAGAAATTTATTAGTCACTGTATCCGTATGAAATGCAATAAAATTCTTTACTTAGAAGAAATCTCCCTCTGTTATTCCAGAAGGAAAAAAAAAAATAAATTAAATACTTCAGCCCCACACTCAGTATTAGAACTGGCTTTCTCAAGATTTTATGATTCAAATGCATTACAATTCTCAACGACGTTCAAATTTCTGCTTTTCTAAATTTAAACTGTTTGTTCTAATTTTGAATCCTTATTCTGAATAAAATTAGAATTAAAAAATTAAAATTAAAAAAAAAAACTGATGGGAGCAATATAATAGTGAAGTATTTCACATTATAACCTTTATGCAAATAATTTCTTTAAATGTAAAGCTTATAGAGGACAGATAAAAACAATAAGTTTAAAACAGGACACTTCGAGATATATGATCTAGACAACTGATAGAAGCGAAAAAAATTCCGAATTTCTGATAGTACAGGTGTGAACAATTATTCTACTACAAGTACAATTGCAGGAATAATAACTGATGGATATTAAATGATAAAAACTGAGACATTAGATTTTAGTTTGAACTTGCAGATTTATGTTAAACCCGCAAATAAATTTTTAGATTAATGCGTTACTCCATATGACCTTATTATGAGATTCTGCTTTTCTTCATTAGTTATTGTTACTGTCTAACTGCTTGTTGTGCCAATTGCTTGCGATGTTAATGGCCTTTCGATAAGGTTACTAAACATAAAATTAAAGCATTAACATTAACTCAGATATTGAAAGTAATAAAAAACCTTAAGTTGTAAAGTAATGTTTGCAGCATACAAGAATGACGTTACTCTATTTGCTCCCTAAAATTATTTTCGTCGTCTACATCGTACATACCTCTTTGATTAGAAACAAATCGCATTGGAGGATGAACTCTGACCTCTAAACATCTTGTTCGTCATAATCATCACTTCCAATGCCGATCACATTCTTCTAAATATACAAATTATCACAATGTAATGATAACAAGGATAGTCATAGTGTAAATAGAGATAACAATTGTAATTATGATCAGGAGCATAATGCACTGGACATCAGTTTCCTATTGTGTAATAATAATCAATCTTGCTCATTGTAAAAATTCTTGTTATAAAATCTAGGATCTACTGTTTTTATTTCTTGGCCATTTGAAAATGGATTAAACTAAATAATTGAAGTAAGAAGTAAAATGGAGAATGTGTGGGTTGGAGAAAGTCAGTCAGTAAAAAATTATCGTAAAATCTAAGAAGTAAGAATCACTTAAGCTAACCAAGTCTTACCTATACTTAAATCCATTAAAACTCAAAAATACAAAAAGTAATATAGAATAAGACTAGATGGCTAGTTCCAACATGAATACAAACACTTAATACTGCTAGCCTTTGATTTTCTTTCCTAAGGTAATTAATTATCTTTGGCCTTACTTATTATTTACTTTAGTAACTACCCGAACTACCCGAAATATTTCATCTAAGCAGTCAATCTTACAAGTGTATTTATAAAATATTCTGTGGAAACTACTATGTGCTTGTGTTTCGTTCTTGTTTTCCTGTTTGGATGTTTACATTAATGGATGGATACTGCTGAACACTAATTAAGACCAACTACGCCATCCATCTTCCGCTTCTTCATCCTTTCACCACTTCATTACTTTTGCTTGAAAATGTTCTCATCTATCCTTCCTCATTTCAAACCCTCAATAACAACGGAACGGTTCTCCTCTTTCGTCATCATTCACATTCTACTTACCAAGTTTACAGTATGCTGCTGTTCGTCCCAGTGTCATCTTGAACTACACTGTTTTGGAATAGATGTCACAGCAAAAGATAACTCTACTGGACACTGCGACAATGGCACTTCTCTCCCGTTATTTTGAAAAGCGATGCTGCATTGCTGATGACTGACTATCTTGATTGATGATTATCGAATGCAGAATTTCGTCTGGGACTCTAAGTATGGATGCACAATGAACTACATCAATGTTTATCATGCGACTATTAATAGTGGATTCGTTATCAAATCAAGACTTTATCAATTATTCCACTCCTTTCTCTACTCTTCTATAATAAGCAATACAAAAGGAATTGCATTTGAATAGTTTATAAATGCGTACTCAAAGAATAAATTTTATAAGAATTTCGAAACACATAAAGAAAACAAAAACTTTTTTATTCTGTTATTGATGAGGTGACCCATTCCCTCATATAAAGTGACCATTATATTATTATCACCAGTATACTATTATATTGTTATCAGAAAGGCAAAGAGAAGCCATGGAAATGGAACAAAAATGTCACATTCGAGCCTCTGAATTGTTTCAATAACGCTACGATGACATTATCAAACAACGGTTCTATATGTAACTAATTTATTGATTCATTCGTTATATTCTCAACAATGTTAGGGCAAACACTGAAATTTGAGCATTTCTATCAAACACTTTCCTCTGCCTTTGCCATTTCTATTTACTTTCTCATTTTTTCACTTTTCAAACTTTAATTTCACTAGCAAATGATGCAAGTTCGAATCGTTGAGTAATATTTCTTATACGACCCCTTAGTGAAATGAAGGATGACAAAGTGATGACCTGTCGCCATGTGTACATACCATAGTGCCAGCGAAGGAAGGAAGGAACAGGTTGGGTGTACATATTTGTCAACCTATCCGTCTTCCATTTGGATAGATGGATGAGTGCCCTGAGGGTTGCTGATTTGAGATGGCTCCTTGTCTACTGAGCACGAGCGCAATGCGGAAACTAAATAGTAGTGCGAGAAGGCAATTATTATTGTTGCAGCTATGACTGCAGAATGCATGTCGTATGTGCAGCAACTGCTCGTTCACTGGTAATGCATGCATCGTCGCAGCGTATGGCAGTGGTATTTCGGATGATCACCTCATCTCCGTTATTTAACCCAATAACAAATTACGGTACACGCTTCCAGATGCCCTTCTCTGTTACCGTAGCACATTAATTACTTTTTTATAATCGTTTGTGTGCAAATGGCTCCTGCTGTTACTGGGGAAGTATCATGCACGAAATTTATCCGCCTGATATAGATGAAAGTATGATTCCGAGTAAAAAACTTACACATAGGACCAAATCCAAATAACAGTTTGTTTAATTAGTGACGACTTGTTTTCAACTCATTGTGAAGTGAAATACGACAAGCATAACTTCTCATTTTATCTCTTTTTGAAATTTTAGAAATTTTTGTCTTTTTAACAGTATGCTGAAATGTTCTTGTCTAGTCACATCGATTTTATGTGAAGTTCAATTAAATTCTATCAATAAAATTGAAGAGTTAACAGATGTGTATGATGTTATCGCATCATTCATATCGTCAACCAGTTATCATCACAAAGCCAATAGAGTGGAGACAAAAACCAGGCCTCTCATTCTCTAAATTGATAGTACGAGTGAACGTCTGTCTTCTTGTCTCTGCAGTATTCTACCTTTTGCTGTTTCATCTAATGTGCAGTGCCTGACAGCACTGTACTCCTCAGTTCCTCCCGCTTACTTCCGTTAAGCTCCAACCAGACCCACTGAATCCCCTCTTCTTCTGTCACAACTCCGCTCTTCCACCAGCACTAGTCAGTCGCTCCGCACCGCTCTGCTCTGCTCAATCATTCGTTCTGGACACATTCCCACAAAATGGTTGGCTAACCATCATTCCGGATGTAGTAGAATTCTTCATCAAAAACTAATTTATGAGGGCGTACACACTATCTATGTCACGCACTACATCAATATACAGTCCGAAATTCCGTGTATTTACTAGAACTACAGTAACCCCTGGTGTTGTAAAGAAATGATCTTACGAATATATCTGTACATAAAGCAATTCAAGAGCTATTTGTCTATTGACTATTAAAATATCGATAATCCCTTAAAAATAATGAAGACAAGTGTTAAATATTAATTAACACATCAAAAGTTGTATCAAGACAGTGCAAATTTATGAAAATGTAAAAGTGGTTACGTTTTTCAAAATGAATCCTCCGGTTTTCAAACCTATCTTTTACAAGCAGAATTGTTTGGCACAAAGAGTTAAGCACAACTATAACGTTTTGCAACTGTCAAAAAAATGAAAAAGGAAACAAAGTCACAAAGAACTTTGATATCAGCTACTGAAAATTAAATTTCTAACCAGAATTCTTCAGCTTTTATGATTTTCAACTAGTACACACTGAACATACTGGGAAGTTTATTACTCGAATTATGGAATTATGAAAGATAAATAGTGGAACGTAAGGTACACAGTATTTTCGAAAATATATGAGAAGCTACTAGGAATTATTCTACATTATTGTTTTGAAGACTTCAATAAGTGGAATACGAAATTAACAAACAAATATTACCAAAGACACACAAGAAACTATCATCAGTTGGCATCATCAATTCAAATATTTACATACAATTACAGTTCAATAATTGGGACAGTATGCTGATTGACTGTTACTTCGGTGATTGTGTGAGAACCATTGTATTGAAAACTTTCGAAACGCGTATTGTTAGCATCAGTCCAAATTTTCTGTAACACAGCAAAACTTCAGCATGGTTTTAATCCATTATAACTGAAAATAGATTGTACGGATGCGACTTATATCACACTTTCGAAAGTCTATAGGAGAAGAATTATAACTGAAATCCTTGGAACACAAGTAGCAAAATGGTCATGTTTAGCAATTGCTTAAAAACAACAACAAGGAAGACAAGTACTAAACATTAATTAACATATAAAAGATGTATCAATCAGATTTGGAAACTAACAGTTTCATTTTTTAACTGATCAGCTATTACGCGAATCCGTCTCTCATCACTGTCCCCATAGTCGTGTAACTGTAACTGCTCTGAACTACGAGACAAACCAGATGTCCCTTCAACAACAAATGCCAACCTATTAATTACCTGCTCTGAAAAATGAAGCTCTTTGTTATCTGCTTCATAATGAGACAAATTTTACAGTTCAACTTGACTTCCACCCACCCAATCAAAAACTAAATAACCCTGTGTAGGTAGATTTCACATAAAAAACAAAAAAATATATGGACAATAAGTAAGTCCTCATTTTGCACTATTAATCTTAATATGAATGAGGAATGATAAACTCCAATTATAGCAGAATTTACCTTGTCCATTAGAAACGACTTGTACTGATCCAGAACGACCTTCGAAAACTTCGGGTTTCTTCAGTTTTATCTATAAAAAAGCAACAGCTCTTGCTTCATCCTAATCAACTTCAAAATTTTAAATACATCTTTGAGAATTTTCAGCAGTTTATTCAAGTTATTAGCACTATGTCTTCAATGGACAAGTGGATAAATACGAATAGCAACTTATTTTATTTTCTTACAACTCCTACTATCACCTCAACAAATTTTATATGAACAATTAACTGGATTACCTCAACTTCTCTTTTTGCGTTTTTCTCTTCAACCAATTTGCTTTCATCACCTTTGATGGTCCTGAATATTTCAGCTTCCGATAATGCAGAATCCTTCCTAACTTTGTCAGCACCTGGTAAATTCAACATCGTCTCCGACGGTAGAATCTGCAATAGAAACAAAGTTCCTGGGTAATAATAAAACAAGAAAAGAAAAACGTGAAAGAGAAAACAAAGTGCAAAATTCAAAAAAGAAAAATGGATGCCTTAATGAAGAAAAAAGAACAAATTCCTGATTATTTGTGGGACATACGATGAAGAGTTTCCACTACAAATCTCAAGTGAGATTATTCACGATTTTGAACGAACCCTAAATTTCGCTTCCTCTTTCTTATCCAGCTCCTTCTCAACTTCCATCTCCAGAGAATCTTCAGCTACTTGTTCTTCATCCGGCTTTTCTTCTTTCGGGTCTAACTTACTGTCATCATTATGCTTCACTTCGTTGACTTTTGGAGCTGGGATTGAAGTCATCGGTACATCGCTTAAAATCTTTTTACTTTTTGGGCCTCGTTTTCGAGGCGTTTTTGAGGATTTACTGCTTTCTACAACAGGTCCACTTGGTATTGGTGTTCCGAGCCTTGAATGAATACTTGACTTTGGTGAAACTTCTGAGCCTTAAAAGAAATAACTAGTAGTATTTTAATTATTTGGAAAAAAGGAACAACCAAATTAGATGATCTTGAAAATACTAGTAAACAGTTATGGAATATACCTTCTGAATGACTTTCACTAGCACCTTCATCATAACTGTGATTATCGTCATCTGAATCATCAGAATCTGAAATTTCTTTTACTTTCCGCTTCCTTCCACGATTTGACCTCCTGTTTCCCTTCCGAGTTCCACCTTTGAAATCGCTTGGTATAGAAAAACCTGATTCCGTGAACAGGTTTTCGTTCAAGATATTACTTGATGGTTCCCATGTGTTATGCCTAAGAATTGTTTAATCATAAAATAATAAATTGAATTATTTTACGACAAAATTCAATTGAATATGTACGAGTGAAAAATGATATACGAATGCTGATATCTAAGTAGTGAGAAATTAACAAGTAAAGGCAACTTACTGGTTTGACCATCCTTTCCATTTGATCAGATATTCTGTTTTCCCCTTTAAAAGTAAAACTTGAAGAAAAAGTTATCAGCACATTTTTTAATAATTTCAGCGATTCAATTTTCAATCAAAAAACTACGCCAGTAGTTCAATGAAGCGCTAAATAAGCTCAGTTTCAACGAAAATAAACTAGCTGCAACGATCTCAGAAAGCGTGTAATCTGAACGACTTATTAGAATCCAATACGATTACTGAAAAATCAGCATATGAAATTTAACAGAGATCATGACATGATTCGTTTCTCAAAAAATCATTTTAAATATTATTTTATGAAGATGTCTTTATAAATCCTAACGTACGTTTTTCTTTTTTTTAAGGTAAAAATTTGGGTGCAACATTCGAGTTTTATGACTAGTTTGATAATGTTGATTAAAACATATTGGAAGATTAGAAAAAATATTTTTTTGAGTGTTTCATAAAAAAGCCACTACGAAATAATTACTGAGTTTATATTTTTGCAATAAAAATACAGCAGGGATTTTCTGTATTGCAAATTTAAAATAATTCGCCCAACAATTTACAAAAATATTTTATATCAATTCATGATCACCTTGTGCATAGTATTCTTTATTATTCGGCTTATCAACGAGTGCATTTTTGTTAAATATTTTTTTATAGTCATAGGTCACAAATCTCGCAGAAATAGAAAAGAGCAAAATGGGATTATTTCACTGTCATTTAAAGCTAAATTCTAAAGTGTCAGTAGCAATACGCATTTTTATTAGATTCCCATTATCACGATGGATTCGTAAGATCACACTGACAGTCAAAGTAAGCTTAATGAGACATTACAATGTTCAAAAAAAACATTCACTTACTTTCCTTGTTCGAGACTTCAGAATTTTTTCCGCTGCATAGACGTCTTGTCCGTCTAATGGATCCATAATTTATGCTGAAATAATTGCACACTTGAAGTAAGTTGCTGCATCCATAAGAAACAAATGATTAGTAATTTCAAACCGCATAAAAAACGATTGTGAATAAAAAACTTTGAATATAGCCTGCAGAGAAAATAAATAGAACAGATAATATTTTATGCGAGCTTTTGGCAAATCACACAAAATGGATTTCTGCATCAATTTCTCAATCAACTCCCTTATTTGCAATATCAAGCTTAGCATCACTATTTTTAATTAAGCAGCAACCAGTTTGACAATAGAACAACGCAGTAAAGCCTCTATACTTCCCATAATAGCACAACTATAATTTCACAATAATAAAAAGAGCTTTGAATCACAATGCAAGAAAAACGAAATGCTAAACATCAATAACAGCCATCCCCTTTATTTCTATTTAAACCGTAATAGTGCGAGAAGTAGGTGGAATTGATCAAAATTTGAAATTGAAAAGCAGAAGAGTGAAGCGACATATCAGATTTCAACTGGTAAGAGAAAACTGTGCAAGAAAGTATATGCAACCACTGATTATCAAATGGCAATCGTCACAGCCAAAGAGTACAACACACTCACACAATGATCTTATAAAAGAATAAGAAGACGCGTTTTTAATCGCGTTTTTCTATTTCCATAGTTACGCGTATACTTCTATCAATTCATAATATAAATACCACTTGCTGGCTGACAGCCATTTAGCACTTGTTACATATCATTCACCACATTCTTGATTCATCCAATCTGAGAGAAATCACCCACCTAAAGTATTCTCTATACTCTAAATGAAATCATTTCTACACACTGATAATTAAGGTGTTTGGAATAAGAATGAAGTGAAGATTTCCAAAGGGCTTATATGTTTTCGCTTTTAAACTGTTTTATGAACTTCTGAGTGTTTGGTAGACATAACAGAAACCGCCTAACACATAATAATCGAAGGAAGATAATTCAAGAATGAAGAGAAAAAGATAATCAGAAAAGTGAGAATGAGAACTGTATGTGAAAAACTCTACATGAATTCCTTAATTAATGAATCATAATTGCAACATGAACCTGAAGCTTTTATGGTTGTGACCAGTGATTAACCCTATTCGTGCTATTCTCTGAAGAAGTGACATGGAGGACATTTATAATTGGTCTACATGTACACCGTGTTTTCAACTCCCAACATCTATCGCAAATTAACTTACTAGACACAATTTCGTTCTGACGATATTTATCAGTAATTCGACCTGGGAAAAAATTATAGAAGCTTCTTGAAGAGAGATGACAAAAACGAATAAAACCATGACATTCCCTAAAATCAACTTAATAGTCAAAACTTTCTTCACTTATCGGAGACAAATTCTGCCAACCCACAAGGCAACCACTCTACTCACAAACAAGCTAATCAAAAACCAAGTCACAACTCCACTGAAGAATTGATTGAACCAGGTCGTCCTCCAGCGAGATAATGTTGTTTTCAGTCGTGAAATTGGATCGCTGTGAAAACGGAGAAGTATTTTGGAATTGAGCAAGGCATAGGTGCGTGTGTCGTGTGGTTGTGGCTTCGGTCGGATTTCTTATCAGTTGTAGACGTTCTACTCGGTCACTTCTCTAAACAAAATGAATTAGTATCTGGAGACGGATTTTTACTCTGTGATTACTCTGAGCTGCTGCCTTAAGTCGAACTATTAGATGAAAGACATTCATTCTGTTAGAACTATTAAATGAAAGACATTATCGACAAGCATTGCTCCTTCTCATCTTATTCCATTAGGTCGTTTGCAAAATAAAGCAGAGTGTTTTTTGTCCGTCAGAATCTCCCGTAATCCGGAATTGCAGAAGGATATTCGTTTGGTGAGTTCTATATTTCATATATTTGCAGTATCTCTGTTTTATCATTACTGAAAAAATTATGGACGCCAAAAGGTGCAAATAATGAAGAAATTATAAATGAGATATTTAGTAGCTTATACACACTTTTCAAATTTATCTTTAAATAACAAAGTGATATTAGTGTAGTAATCGTGGTAATAGTGACATATTTACGGCTAATTAAATAGAAATACAGCATAGCAGCTGTCACAGCATAGTACTTGGTGACACAATGCGCAGAACATCTGTTGCATTGAATGAAAAGGTAAGGGAGGAGAAATAGATGAATCCCTCCTCTTCCCTACAGTTGAAATGATGAGATAGAGGTGAATAATGACCACTGCCTAATCAACATTCATCCCAACCGCTAATTATTGCTTATCCCTTCTTATTATTATCGTGACCACACAGGGATTACTGTGCTTTGTACTTCCGAATGAGCGGCCTGACTCAGTAGACATTGACTCTCATTTCAGGACCAGGAATGCATTAGGACAGTCAATTTGCATAAATGACCGCCTGTATGACGAAGTAGAGGATACCTGTTAGTCTTTACATGACCAAGGCTTTTTGCCTTTCACTCAATTTTCAAAATTCATATCAAATAGTGACACCACTTAATTTCCATAGCGACAGTGGCGCCATCGCCCTGCACTTCTGTTCTCAGCCATATAAAGATGGACGACCCTGCCATATCATAAATGTTGCACATACGCCTCAAGGGTCAACGCTATTTCGGTACTGTTTATTAGCCTTCGTTTCTCGAAACTACCACTCTCGAACACTCACTCCACTTCCTCACTCGATCGTGTCCTATTAGTAATAAATGTTACCTGTGCCAAAGTGTGCTCTTTTTATTTGACACTTCCCTGATTTTCTTGAGGTTCATTGTTTTTCATCAGCTGTCTGTGAACCGCTTCTCTCATCAGTCCTTCTATAATGCGATTTCTACTTTCTCCGCAGTGTTTTTTTTGAAATGTGCTCGAGATTGCGGCCTGTACTCGCAGTCTTGAGTATAACTCTACTGATCTGACATCAGTATTTCAGACTCTTATTGAGATTACTATCTTTATGAATAAATGTCTGTTATAAGATGTTTTATCAGAATGTTTAGAACGATATTTGTAACTGTCTATTCCATTGCACTAATTCAGCAAGAGAATATGATCTATTAGTATGAATTATTAACTTCGTTATTACTGACATTGTCATCATGTTGGTTAATGATAAACCGCTTGCTGTAAAGAGGAAGATTATTTTCAGAAGTACTAATTATACAATTAACCTGAAGCATCTTTTCATTGCTAATGAACAGGTGTGATATCTGCAATATAAGTCAAAGTAAATCAACAGAACAGCTGTAAAACTGTGATAAAGGTAATCGACTTGTTGATCGACTTCAAAGTTTTTGGGGCGGAATGATTTCGTTTTGTATTATTATTAAGAAAATGATAAACATTCATAACTGATGTAGCAAAAATTATAAATTGTCGGAAAAGAGAGTGAGTAAAAAAAATGAAACCTACTCAAGAATGCAAGAATAAACAGAAGAAAGAAGAAGAAAAAACAGTACAGCAGAGAAGATCAACATGGGAGGATGCTATGATTGATGGTTATGACTTTCTCAAACCATCTTCAACTCATTATTCATTTTATCCTTGTCATTTCTTTTAATTTCGATTTAATCATTAATCAGATCAATTTATCCATTCCTACCATTTCAAGACAAAATAAGAACTGTTATTAGTTATTAGAAAACCACAAGCTCGTATCGAAGTGTTACCATCACCATCTGAGCAGAAATCAGCAAATACCGAGAAATTACAGCTATGAAGTGATAAAAAACAGTGACAATAAACTTGAACATTATCTTTCCATCTAAATTAAAGTCAGAATTAGTCAAAGTAATAGATTGAATGGTTAATACTGCAAGGAAAAAAACTCCCGCAAAACCGCAAACAATTCATCTTTATGGTCATATCAGTTAATTTATCAACTTTAAATGGTAATGTATTGAAGGAGCGGAAAAGATAAATTAAGTGATAAAGTAAAAATTGCAGCAAACTTAGAAGCAAATAATTGGTTCCATCTGTTTCCAGCTTTTCATCTTTTCGATTTGATCAATCTATGAGTGATAGAGCAGGAGTCAACAGATTTGTCGCATTTCTTACGATTGCTTTCGACTTAATTTCATTACTTCTGATGGATGGCTCTCCTCCTTATGTTGCGATGATAAGTATTGTATACAAACTTCTTATATCAATATATATATATATATAATATTGCTAATATAGATATAAATTGATAGTGAAGTTGTCTAGGATTTCTTGAAATTTGACCTAGAAAAAACATCAGAATTAATCGATATTGCACTTGCACCTTACATCGGCAACGACTGCAGTATTTGTGATACTCATTTTGTTGTAAGTACAAATAGCATGTTGTCTCTTATTTAAAAAAATAAAAAAAGAAAAAAAAAACATTTTATTATTTCCGTTGCAATAAACAATCAAAAATAAAGTGTAAAATAAAACCAATTATCAATTAGAATAATACAGTGCTTGAGCTAATTAGATTTTGAATATTCAAATTAAATGTCACATCGTGATACTATTTTGATGATTTTTATTTGAAAAACTTTTCAAAGAAACCGAAAATAAATCTTCAAAAAAACCGCAATCGGAAACAGTGCGGTGAAAGTGCTAAGATGAACTCTACAACGAAGACATTTCGGTTTTGATAAGAAAGTTTGAAATATGCTTGAGAAGTTAAGCTAACATACAATTTATGCTGCAACTGTAATTGTTGATTGAAAAGTAATGTTACCAAAAATGTAAATGAAATATCAGTGCATGCTATGATTACGCTAATAAGGGATCTGCTAATAAGGGCTTAAGATCGGAATTCATTTTAGATTTCTTTTAAATCATACTAGTTTTTAGCTAGGAACACAAGTTGCCTGTTTTTTTTCCTTTAAAGATAAGGAGGAAGCGGCAGTTTCTCTTAAATTTAGAACAATATTGAAATAGCATACAGTGTTCGGCTTTGTTGTTTACCCTTTTCCCTTGATAAATAACCGGTTCTGTAATGTAATAGAGATTTCGCTACAGAAATCTGTCGATATTCTATCACTC